TTTGGTTCCATGAAGCAACGCGATGAGTCAACCGACAAAAGACACATTCCGGGTTAGCTAGTGAATCCATACAATCAGCTCGTAGTAGCGATTGAAATCTGTCTTTTCTGTACCATCCTGCCTCCACAGTCTATTAACAAAACTTGTTCACCTATTCCATGATCCGTGACTACTCCTGGCCTCACTTATTCCACGTGCGCATCGAAGCAAACAAAACACGTTTTTGTGCAGCAGGCAACAGCGCACATACAGCAAAACTGTACAGAGCACAGACCACGCCTGTTTCTCTTACTTATTCATGTTGTCTAAACGTATCTAAAACTAAACTAATGCATCGTTATTTTGGGAGATCATCTTGTCCATTTCAAATGATTAGATAGACAGTCGCTTTCCGTATGTACTGTTACATTTCATCGAAATGGGAGAGCATTTGGCAATAGTTCACTGATTCGTATTCACTGTGCTCGTCCAAATAAACCTGAATTATGCTCATATTCTCTCTTTTAGAATAACGCAGAAATATAAATATTCTTGTCGATATTCTTCATGTTAACCAAACAGTCGATGGTAGCCACCCCTACACTCTTGGGCCGCGCAAACAGACTAATCTTATTGTTCGTACAACCTTAAACAAATTCAGACAACCAGTTGGAGATTGGAATACAATAAACAAATGACTATCTGTAGTTTCTCACGCCGACCGGTCACCTATCGCATACCAGCGTAGTAGGAGTCAGATAAAGTTAACTTTCCTATGCAGATTATAGGGCTCTAACAGTCTGTCCAGCTGCAATTCCCAATACAAAAGCATACACGTAATAGTGTATACAACCACCACTCACTGTGAACACCGAAAACTGATGTTGGCGATTCCCATCCAAAAAAATCCTCGCAGGATATTCTGATCAAAAAATACACATAGTTATATATTTAGGGAGGTGTGGAAAATGTGTTGATATTCTCACGATGTGGGCGGGGAAGCCAGTCGAATAAAAGTTTGTGATTCCTAGGCACTGCATTGAAATTGAACCCGGACGGATTGAAAAGCCCACCCCACCTCATTGGGATTAATTTCCCACTTTACGCCTCACTACATCAATAGCCTTAGTGATCCTGGCTAGCGATTGAAATTTACGCATCCATTTGCACTGTTTGTGTGTGCATTTTTCAACGTTAAGCGTGCTGAAATTGGGAAACGCTCATTTTGTCTCATTTTGTTTCCCATAATATCATCAGATTTATTTCTATTCGTGAAGGCAGTAAAACATTGTGCTCAATTTGAACTTCAATTCAAGATGTCCTGTTTCAGGGGAAGGATATATAAGGACAAATGAAGACAAACTATGTAAGCATTGTCGGTGAAAATCATTGATTGTACTTACTTTAAAATTTGTAAAACAGTACCATTTGCATCTTGACATTTGTGAGAATTCCTTGCTGGTAATTGAACACAGTAACTTAACCGCCACAGGTATCAGGTGGGTAGTTATTCAATCTTTTGACAAGAAAGCATTATCCAACACCCGACTGCATGAACTATGGCTGTCGGAAGAAACAGGCAATTATTCAATAACATACTAGGTGACTTCCTTGTTTTACCATTTTTGTTGGGCTCAGATATCTCCGATGTTGTGATGTTTCCCTGAATGAATGGAACTTATACGTATGTGTGAGGAACAGAGTGTGAGAAACATCTGGTCATTGAAATGGAATGTCGATTAATTTTCCTTTCAATGTATCATCATTATTTCCTCTTAATAAACTATTTAAAATAATTTCTGATTCGTTAACCCATAGATGCACCACTGCAAATAAACATGTTCACCACTGTACTCAGAGAATTTAATGGATGCGTTGCTCACTTCACGGGAAGCAAATCTTCATGGATATAGCCCTCGATTTGTTGGATTTCATTGTATAAAATTTCTCACGGTAGTTAATTTACAACGAAAGTGCCACTAATCCTCGTGTTCGTAACGTTGTCTTTACATGAACTGACTACTGACGAGAGAATGAGTAGTCAGTACCGGAATATGATCCTCTGCAAACTCTTCTCCTATTCGTGAAATGCTTCTGAAGATTCGTAAGGTTGTCTTCTGCAACGCAAGTACTCTAACACTTTTTTGTGGGGATGAGTATATATTCCTGTATAATGCGGCATGTTGTTTATAGCAGTTTGACGTCATGCTACCAACAACGGATTCCCAGGCATGCGAATATTACCCCGGATAATTCATACGTATTCTAGCAGGTCTTTTTGCTGATTTTTACTGCTCGTGAGAAAATTTTGGTTTTAATTGTTTGATTTTGATATTAAACCACCGGTTATTCTTGTTCAGCGAAAGGATAAAAGATAATTGACTTTAGGATACCGGTGGATAAGATACGAACGAATTCCTGTCGGGATTTTATAGACATCTAAAGTTAGGCAAATAATGCTGTCTTCATTAATTTGTGCCACTGAGGATTCCAGAATACTCAAGTTCAACAGCGGTGTCGCAAAGTGCAGTGTCGCTATTGGAATTAGTTGGTCCAGGTCCCAACCCCCCTCTAAACAGGGAAGTAATCGATCGAGTGAACAAAGTTTTCTTGTTTGGGCAACAGTATCTCTCACACGGCTGACGCACCATCGTTGAAGTTTCGGTTCTCGTCGATAAAGTTGGATTCTTATTTGCAAATTAAATACCTTTGTCACCGTCTCAGATTCCGGCTATCTATAAACAGTCCAATTAGATAAGTAAACCGCTCGGCCGGTACTGCTACACGGCACAGAATCTCGGCCATTAGGTAACAGGAAAAAGGTAGATTATTGGAGTTCGGATACCGCTGTCCACGCAGTACTAGACACATCTAATATGCTAACCGGACGAGCAGTGCTCAAGTTAGAACAGAGTTTGAAGTGATTACAGTCACCCATTAGAACAAGTGGTTGATTTTCACAGGTTACACTGGTTGGGGTAGGTGTTGCGCATATCACCAAATTACCACGACGCACCATGCTTACCGAGGTAGACAGGTGGTATAAAAATGCCAAATGTGGTCGAACAAAGACCTGATACGAGGGGGTGAAAAAGCTAACCAGCAGTCCGCCTTCATGTTAGGTGCCCTGGATATGGATCTCGGGAGCAGTACAATGAACGGTTACAGCCACTGGTTGATATGGCTGAGAGCTGTAAACATTGCCGCTCGTGCATCTGCTCAATTGCCTTTCAATGTTGGTCAACAAGAATTCGCCAGTTTCACCCTGACACTGGTGTGAACATAATAATCTTTCCTTTAGTCCTTAATCGAAGTGGGCAAACAAAGGACAACAACCACAACGGCTATACAAACGTGAAAGTTTATCGATTGTTCAAACTGAAACTGAAACCGCAGTGTTGCCGATGTTTTTCAGTGCTAGCATTTTTCGGATCAGTAAACCTCATTGTGTCGAATGAGATTAAAAGAGGATTGGATTTGTTCATATGATGAATTCGTCGTATAAACGAGGCATGAGCTGAAAAACTAGGAAGCACTGAACAGCTGTTTCGACCTGGATCGGTCCCATCAGCAGTAGTGCGAATCCATCGACTGAACTGGGGATCGAACCCGGGACCTCAAAGGGAGGATTCCAGTATACTACCCACTCAGCCACCGGGTAACAGATAATACGGTTTCTTATTTCCAATATAAACACGATAGAGCACAACCCATTTATGCGAGCTTGTTGCGTGTATAGGTCCTCGCTCATTTCATCACTAGCCTTTTAATTATGGTTAGCTATTTGGTTTTCAGTTCTTCCCCATGTCAGCAGGCACGCACGCACACACATCCATACACTGTTATTTGGTAGACCCTGGAAGTATTATCCAGCATCCACACTCAATTATTGCTATTCATTGTGAAGCAAAATTCCAAGCTCTAAAATAAGTGTTGCGTTCGAAGTGAGTTCTGCAACGGGCAGAGGCGGTACTGTACCGGAGGAGTATTTGAACTGAAAATATATAAGCTTCCATAATTAATGGCAATGTGAAAAATGCGCTCTTGTAAGCACATTTGCATCCTGTCATGTATGTTCTATACACGAGTCAGCGCATATACTTCTTTCATTGGCTGAAACGAAAAAAAACACGTTTAATTTTTTCCGCTTTTGGAAACCTTCTCATAGGACGGACTATGTCCGTTCTCTTAGTTGTACAAGGCTGTTTAACCACAATTCTTGACTAAGAAATAATTATCTTACTCGCTTGTTCTTATTGGGGACCAGTATTCAACGGAGAGAGAGAGATAAATTACCATTTTACGGTTCTTTCTAATCGTTTCCAATGTTTCTGGTTTTGTCAACACGTTGAGATTATCCCCTTAATTGTTTTGTTTCTACAATTCTGGACAGAATGTTTCACAGCCGTTTGTCATTCATAAACATTTGTCATATTTTCGAACTGGAAAACTGTTGAAGAATGAATGGGGAAAAATTGGGCCGGATAAAGAAAGCTGTACCGAAATAGCTGGTCACTGTTGATTGATCTAGCCCGTTTGCTAGCATCTATCTTGATTCGCACGATGTATTATCCTTCTGATATTCGCCCTTGCTGCTCAATCTAAATCGGTCGGGTTTTCACGCAGACTTGTTGTTTGTGTCCCCTAATGGTCCCATAAACACAGTTAACAGCATTTTGAGAGGTCGCACAAACTCAGTTGATGCCTGTCAATGGGATGAAGTGAATGAACGTTATGATGAACATGGTGATGAAATTCAACTTGTAGGTAGTGCGGGCAATGGAATAGAGTGGTATCGACGTGGGTGCAACTCCAGGCACCCATCCAAGGAACTAAGCAAGCTCCATTTCACAGTCATGAAAGCATCTCCTCCGTAAGCGCGTTCTAAGGCTCAATCTATCTGGACTGGATTGCGAGGAACGGCTGCAGTTGCATCAGCTGCAGTCGGCTTGAATTCAAAGGGGTCATTGCTCTGATATCTTAAAACTTGAACTGCCTTGTGACTGCGACCCGTGTGACCCATGAATAGTACGGATACCGGAAGTGGTCAACCAGGCAGTCTGCATGACGTGTGTTTGAATTTCTTCACTGACAGGAATTTTCTTCTTCTTCGCCTGTCACCACGTAGCATTAATTTGGTCGCAATCTATTCGTCGAAAGAGAGAGTATCATTGGATTTATAATGAACAAAGACGAAGCAAAAGGACTATCAGCGTATCTTGTATTTTTCAGGTGGACTAACATTCACCAGCTAATTTGAATTGGGTGTTGATTTCTGCATTTAGTTCATTATCAGTTGAACAGCTTACACATAACCGAAAAATAAATAAAAATAATACTTCACCTAAAAGCGAATTTCTACAATGAATGCTTGAGCGATCGGTATAACGTTGTTCGATATCAGTGACTGCAACTTGTTCTGCTTCAAATGGACTCGTTATTTGAAGAATTTCATTCTGGTTGTATCACTCGGCGTTTAGAATCCTTTTATCAACAGCATTGTTCATTCATTGATAAACAACTAATTCATTAGATGTTCTTCGACGGCTAACAAATTAAATTTATCAATTAAAAAGAAAGTGATTATATCCCAGATTCAAAGGCACGAAACGATGGTTCTTCTGTGGCTTGTTACGTGGCTATTGTCCCAGTGGCAGCGGTTACGATGGACTTTGGCCATGGATTCCCGTTCGTGCAGGAAGTCTGTACTGTACTCCGTTGGTGTTAATGGGTATTCTAGTTTCAAAAACTAATTGGATGCCTGAACCATTAGTTACGATAATGCAGTTCGCCTTGCCAACGGAGAAGGAATATTGCTCTAGGTGAACCAAAGTGATGTGAAAATAAGGACTCATAAAATTTGCGCGCTCCTCAGTTGTCTGTTTGGGATGACAGTCTCGTCGTATCTGTGCATTGAAAAAAAATAGAATAAGATTTTGAGTCGCTCCCCTACAGTTGTTTTAACCATAGCATCTGTAGACATATCGATGGTGCTGCTGATCTTACATTTTTCTCATGCAACCACACTTTGCTCCAACAGTTCACTCATTTCACTATAAACAATAAGAAAATATTAAGGGCTGATATCGGAGAGCATTTTTCCGTCTGTCTTCTATCTCACAACCCTTCTTAATTTGAGATGTTGAATACATACCCGTTTTATCAGTCCGTTGATCATACGTTTA